TATTTCTTGTCCTTCTGGAGTCAATTCATTTTTATAATCAGAATTTTGGAGTTCAAAGTGTTCCTGAATATTCTTTACTCCTACTACCTTAATTTTTTAAAAATGAGGACTCTTAGAGATAAGGCCTTGACCAAGGTCTACAACTAGTTAGACAATGGGAACTAACTTTAGGTCTGACTTACATCTTTTCATATGCAATACTTGGGGAAGATCATAAAGAAGACATGACCAGAAGTTGGATCCTGGAGCTGAACCGAAGCAACTGGAGGCTCCTCATCTACTCCCTTGTGCTTTGGAATGTGTAGTGTTTGCTTTCACTGCTCCCAGAAGCTGTTTCAAAGATACAGCTTCGAGATAGAAATGAGGAGTTGAGACTATCTGGACTGAGTACGTGACTGGCTCCAGTTAAGGCCCCCTAAGTACATGACTAAACCTAGTTAGGACCCAGTTAGGACGTGTTAAGATTAGGCAGGCAGGTGCTGAGATCTACTTGTCTTGCCATGTAAGACAAGCCTGTGACTTGCTTTGTTTATTTAACCTGCCACCTATGAATCTGGAGTGGTCTGCCTTTTTCTTTGGTCTTGGTTTTGATTACATCTGGGAAACTCCTGAGGAGGTTGCAACCCAACAAATACAGCATATTTTTATTGTCTTGGTTATTTATCATATATCACCAGTGTTCTGGTCTTCCTGGAACTGTTATCTGTCCAAATTACACACAGAACTTTAAGTCAAGATACTAGTGTTTTATTGTTTGTTCCTGTATCATCCCACCTTCTTCTCAGTAGCATGGGTAAAGCAGCAGAGTGAACCAAATAATCACATGGAAAACAACAATAATTCTCATAAATAACTGATAATTTAGATCTTAAAATCTTGAGTACAGCCAACATCATTTGTTGTTATTACTCTAGTTCCCTAAACTAAAACTTACCTGCCTGCTTTTAGTGCACTCATGAATTTTCTCAAGCTCTTCCTGCAGTGACTTTCCATTGGTTTAGCATTTTAATACCTAGAAGAGTACAGTTTGCTTACCTAGAATTTTTACTCTTCTGGATGATTTATAAAAAAGGAATAATTCTGACATTAGTTCTTATCATATGTATGAACAGTTCCACCTCTCATTTACAGAGTAATCCATTTATTTATATCCAGATTTCTCAAGTTCACTGTCTTATAAAAAGGCTTTTTATAGTGTTTTCACTCAAAAGAACACAACAGAAAACAGGTATAGCCACGTAAAAGGTTTACAGTTTAGTGTAAAAAAAACGGAGGGGCATTGCATATTAGAGCAGTTTATTAGCTTTACTTTATAATTTGATTCATATCCTACATATAGATCAAGAGTTACTATCTCATGTAAATTTATCCTTGTTATTGTAAATTATAATGATAGTCTAAAACCAAAAAGCCTCAAATCAAGGTTTACAGCAGTTCAAGAACAGTATCAGAAGAAACTTCATCACTTCATGTGGGCTGACCATATTTACGCGGGTCACTATTTTATAACAGGAAAATTGTTTTAAAATTCATTGCTACGAAGATCATAGAATATGTTAATTATCATATATAATGAGTTACATAAGTTTTACAAATAAAGTAGTTTATTGCTTTCAAATGAAAAAGTATAACCCTTTGATGAACTGGGCTTCTAGAATATTTGCTTTTGTTGCCTATCCCCAACTTGTTCTCAATCCTGTTTGCATTACTTTCTATTCTGTTACACATTCCTATGCTCTGTTAAAAATCTTTCTCTGATACTTTTGTGTTACTTACTCTTCCTTTTACTGTCCTCTTTTTTTACTTCCTTTCTTGATTGCCTTTCCTATTTCACGACCTGCTTTCCTCATTTCCAGATACTCCTATCCTTGCAGTCCAAGTCATCCACATCTGCATGAGTTTGTTGCTCTCTGGTTGCCCCAAATATCCTATTTTTACTCTCATTTAAGCAGTTCTCCCCTCTTTTGGTCTAGCCAGTAATCCACTACTCCTCATCTCCCCACAAAGCTACCCTTCTCTCAGATAACCCAGCTAAGTGGTAGAGAAGTAAACTCTTCAAACTACATCATATTTAATATAAATGGTTAATAATTTTTACTCACCCCTGCCCAACCCATGTCCTGTCTTATGCCCACTGAAATAATTTCACTTGGTAAAATTTCATACCAATTGGGTAGAAAATTTGGGATGGGGCATGTTTCTGGGGTTAATTGGAAACTCACCTCTAAACATACAAAACAACCTATTTCCCAATATATTCCAGTCTTGGACTAGACAAGAAATAGGCAAATGAAAAGAAATATTGATCCCTTTTGGGGATTTCCTGATTCTACCTGTTTTCTGAGGTTTGATTCAGTTACGTCCAACCTTTGAAATCCAATGATTGGAGGAAAGGGGATGTGGCAAAGGTATAGTCCAGTTTCCAATGTCTGGATGCAGATAATATTGTCAATCAAGGGGTCCTAGAACACTGAAGCCCAGTGCCAGAAAAATGAAATGCCTGATAGTCTCCTCAGTTCTGGATCCAGGATATCAGAAAGTTCTCAAAGTTTTCTGTCTTATCTGTTCACCTCTTTTTGTCCTTTAGCTGATCATAGAAATATTTCTTCTGATTATATGAAAGTAGTACTAATTACCATTTATGGCTAATTACTTGTGGCACAGTAACAAATGTCAAATTGTAGTTGGTGTTGGTCTAAGCTTTACTTTAACATTATATTTTACTCAAGTGTTTACTTTTCACAGTTATGTTCATATGGTGGGTTTACCATAATACCTAAAAGAAGCCAGACATAAAAGGTAACATATTACATGACTCCATTTATATGAAAGTGAATGATGAATCAAATGTGATTGCAGTAGTCCCTCTTTATCCACCGGGGGTATGTCCTAAGACCTCCCGTGGATGCCTGAAACTGAGGATAGTACTGACCCTACATATACTATGTTTTTCTCCTATACATATATACACTTTAATTTATAAATCAGGCACAGTAAGAGCTTAACAATAGTAACTAACAATGAAACAGAATAATTATAATACACTGTAAAAAAAGAGTTGTTGTCCCACTTACTGATGCACTCATTGGTTGATTCTTGTACATTCCCTGATCTGGGATTGAACCCACAACCATTCCATGTTGAGACAATGCTCTAACCAACTGAGCTACCCAACCAGGGCTACTTGTATTTTCAACGTTTTCTTCAAGCTACATATGTTATTCTTGATTAAAACAAAAGCGATAAAAATTAAAAATAAAATTTTTTAAAAAATTTACTGATTTTTTTTTTTAAAAAAGAGAAACATTGATGTATTGTTCCACTTATTTATGCATTCACTGGTTGGCTCTTGTTAGTGCCCTGACCAGGGACTGAACCTGCAACCTCGGCATATTGGGACAATTCTCTAACCAACTGAGCCACACAGCTAGGGCTAAAATTTATTTTCTTAATAGTTCTAAAACTTGTGTGACATGGAATTACAGAATCTTTGCTCAACAAGAGACCAAGAAGAGTCTCCCAGTCTAACCTTCTGCCAAATTGAAGTAATCTTGTCTACTTATTTGACACTATCCAGATTTTTCCTAATACAGAAATCAATTATTTGAAAACATTATTCTACTGTTAAACAATTGAAAACTTCCTTGATTCTTTAATAAGTGTATTCAGTCTCTATTTGTGTCAGTGGCTTAAGTCTTTATACTAAGCCCAAATGTATATATTGCTCTCTAATTTTCTGCTATTATTTTCAATTTTACCATTTGGAGGGAAAAAAAAAGTATGTCTACCCCCCTTTTTAGAAAACAGTCTTTGGGGTATTTTTAGACAGCTTTCAGGAGCCCCTTAAGTCTTTACGTTTGTATACCCTGCCTGCCATTCATTAATATTCTTAAAATGGCACAGCCAGGCCCAAACGCAACATTCCAAATGATTTCTGATCAGCCCCAAATAGAATTAATAGTCTCAGGATTTCTGAAGTTTTCTTTTATGAATGTAGACTATATCAGCATTGTTAGTAGTTACGTACTGCTGACAGCTTAAGGTTATAGAAAACAGAATTATCCAAGTCTGTTTTACCAGCAACTCAGGTCTTCCAAATCTATAGCTTAAGTAATGCATTTGTCCACATTCAATTTAAATATGGACTAAAAATGCACCTTAGAATTAAGAAAATATGTCTAGTTCCTGATCATAGAAAGCTGTCTCCTTTGTATATTTTTAGCTTGACTAAGCTGACTAATCAGTCAAGCAATCAACTATTTATTGCTTATTTTATCTGTGGGAAGTTGTACTTTTATAATGTTCAGTTTTAAAGAAAATCACATCACTAGAGACAATGTGGTTCATTAAATGAATCACTTAAGGTCTTAATCAGAGAGAAAAGAATAGTGAACACAAAAGTAGTGAAGAAATAATGACCATCCCTGCATTTTAGAAACCAGCAATGCGCAAACTCAGTTTTCTTTTTAATGTTTTCTCAGCAGGAGCAATGCTGTCAAGCCCCAGCGGGGATGGGAATTACTATATCTATATTACTTACATTAAGTTTTAAGAGTTATAGCACTCCAGTTCTCCTCGTTTTTAAGATACTTGATATACAAATACAGCCACCAATTTATTTCTAGGTTTAAAAAATGTGATATAAATTCTTGGGAATCAAGAAATGTTACATGTTCTAAGTTTTGGATACAAACCTAAAGGTTAAATTGTACGTCATTCATAGTCCTATTAGTGAAATCTTTATAACTTCTCATATGCCAAGACTTATAATAATCTACTAAAAATTAGAGTTCTGCCTTTATGAAAAATTTTATCTACCACTATTTTGTTCAAAACCACACACACAGTGGCCTAATAAGTGGTCAGAAAGGATCTTTCCCACCTGTGTAAGTACTTAATATATTCAGTTTTGTATTATAGACTTTAATAAACAGAGTGTCACTTCACACCCATGTGTAGCTTTCTCAGAAATAGTAAAAGAGCCAATTATTTGAAATTACCTTGAGTGGTGAAGTTGAAGAGTGCAGGTGTGTCTCGCCCATTTGGTAGTTTGACATTTGGGTCCCGTAATTCATCAAAAAATGAATGTGCACAAGCTTCCAGTGGTGTCAGTCGGGCAGTTGGTGTGTACTCCAGCAGACGGCTACACAGTGCAATTGCCTCTGGTGGAGTTCGGGGTCGGAAGACCTGCAGTAGAAAAAAAGGAAAAGAACAATTAATGTTTTTAAAGAATCTTAGCACTTTATCCTCTGAGTACTGAGTTAATTCCCACAACGTACAAAAACATGGTTGCATTTGTGAAAGAAACCTTCTAGGATGAAAAGAGTTAACTGTATATGATTCACCACACTGGGATGAACTAATTGTTAATTAAATACTAGATGAGAAAAGCTCAGAGAAAAAACTAGGGGAAATGGGGGAAAAAGTCTACATATGCTAGTCATAAAGCAGAACAATCAAACATGCACACAATATATGACAGGCACAAGAGAAAGGGGGGGGTTCTGGGTGCCAACACAAGAAGGATATAAACAAAAAGTGTAAGTTTTGACTGTGGTGGCAGTAGATAAAAATTTGCTTCTTTTGTGTGATTTTTAGCAGAACAATTGTTGATAATGGACGGCACTGTTTCAATTTGGCAATCAATATCTTTTCAAAAAGAGAAGCTATTTACTCTAAGTCTATTCAATAAACAGAACCTATGATTATTTGAAGAAATTCTTGAATACCCAGAATTTGACAAAATATCCAAAATTGTTTTCTCAAGTAGCTGTTTTTCACAAACATGGCCAGATTACAGTCACTTGTATGAATACTATCAGGTTTTAATCAGAAAGAGAGAAATGTAGTTTTCATTAAGAGCCATTAACTCACAAAAGTCAACTGAAGGCTATGGTGAAGCAGAATGCAAAAAAAAATTAATTTGCTTAACGGAACAGAAAGCTTTCTACTTCTCTTTAAAATCCCTAATCAATACATAAAACTATGAAAATATACTTTGTTTTAAATTATGGACAGTTAAAGAATAAAAGCAGAAGAGAAAAAAAGGAAACAAATGTAAGCAGATGGACAGAAAGCTTTCGAAACTAAAAAAAAAAAAAAAAAAGAACAAAAGTATATCTCTTGATAGGAAGAGAGAGAAGGTGTGGTAGTGGTAGTGGCAGTGGTGGAGATAAACAGACATATAAAAAGAAGCAGAAGTGCATAGAGCGGGGGAAATAGACCCACAAGTGAGGAAAGGACATGTAGATTGTGACAAGGCATGAAGGAGCCTGGGAGGTTAAGGTTTCCTGAGAATGGCTCATGTAAATCTGGGTATTCACTTAAACTGAAGGTAGGAGAACTACCTTATAGAGCTAGTTAACCCTCTATAAGGTCAAAAACTGCTTTACCTTTTATTCTTTTCTGACTTGCCTTAGTCAAGAAAACCTAACTTTATGTATTATTTGAAATGCTTAGACCTTCTACTATTCTTCGTCATTTTATCTTTTCACGCTCCCTAACCAGGTCCGTTATCAAACTCATACGTAAAAGAAAATATTAGGAAAACAGAAATTTTTTAATGAAAATATTAAGCACTACTGACATATTTTATCCCTGAGTACAGTTTGCATTTATTTGAGAGCATATGGATTTATTTTGCCAACCAGTATAATAAAAATCGCTTGTGTACCAACATGGGAGGCACCTACATAGAATTAGAAGTAGAAATAAATTATCTCCTGCTAAGATTCAAATGTAGGACATCTAGACAGTGACTGTATTTTAAATTTAAAAATTTCATGTTATATTAAAAGACTGTATAAAGCTATTAACGAACCAGTATTGTAAACTTATCTTTGATTATTTAAAAAAGTCATCCACAACTTTTTAGTATCTTACAGGCCATGAGTGACCATCCATTTAGTAGTATGACACATAATTAGCCTATTTTGCCAGGGAATCCTAAGTCATGGAATCAAAGAGTTAAAAACAAAAATAAAAAAAGGAATTCATTCCAAGAACCTACATTAAAATCAAGACTTAACCTTCGTTTAAAAAAGGTATGCATTCTTACTTTAAGCCTTTTAAAAGATTCTTGATGAGAAAAGCTTTGGTTCAGTACCTTATAGATAAAGATTAAGTGGAAACTTATGTGAGGTCAAAAACCAGTGTCTCCTAAAGTTCAGATTTCTGACCATAGTACAGGGAGTGGTAGCATGCAACTTCGAAAATTACAGGCCAAAATAGAAAACAGTTCTTCTGAATTATCTTTGTGTCTAAAGAAAACAACTACTGAAATTTGACTTTTAATAATGAAATTTCTGCTGTTGCTTCATTATTTACTCATTTTAATTGCTTAATACTCATAACCTTTGGTTCTGTGGACCTTTGTCAGTATTTATTCTTGTAAAAAACAGTTTTCAAACCCCCCATTCCTAAACTTCAGTCCAGATGTCAATACATCACTCAGAAGACTTACAATCTAAATATACCACAAGCAAAACCTGTACCAGACAGTGAATGATATCAGAAATCAGAGCTACCTACATTGTTTTTACTGTTATATTTCAAGAATGAGTAACTGTTTAGCCTTTCAAAAAGTTTTCCCCCTAGTTTTATACACCTGCCCTGAAATTTTGGGAAAAAAAGTTTAAGTACATACCCGCACTCCTGAGGTGAAATGTCCTGTTCCTGACGAATCCTAAAGATGATAATGCAGTGAAATAATCCAAACAGGGGAAGTCAATCCAAAAGAGAATAGTCCAGCAAGGAAAAATATATCCAATGTTATAAGAAATCCATGGTGTGGGGGAGGGACATAGAAAATGTTTATACAGTTATAAACTTTAAACATCAGTCTCCACAGTAGCAAGTCCAAGTTTTAAAAATTATTTCACCACAGTGTATGCAAAAAAAATTTTTGATTGCGCAATGGTGAGGCACAGTATAGAAACATTTTAATTTTAGTTTATTATGTTCCAATGCCAGTGCATTTATTAAAAAAATACAAAACCAAAAAAAGTTAAAATCAAAATGAAATCTAGAAGTAAAGTTCCCAAAGTAAAGTGTTTGGTCTTCTATGTCCTGGATTCATCATCCATTGATGGCTGGGAGGGGGCATTTAAGACTGCATTTTAAAGATGTGAGTTCTCAGTATACTAATTTTTCTCTATTAACGTATGCCAGTTACACAGTATAAACATTTTTCTGCTAAATTATTAGTGATGAGAGGAAAGTAATAAGTATATTTAATTTATGTTACTATAGATTTCAAGCCAGATATTTCAATTTGTGTGAGCTAGGAAGGATCAGGCCACCGCGGATTATTCTCCATTTTGGATTGACTTCCCTGCTAAAAGGTATTTGCTGACATTCCCATTTTCTTAGGACTCTTCAGAAAATAGACATATCACCTCAGGAGTGCGGGTATAAACTTACATTTTCTACTGTGGGCTTTGCCCCCTCATACCCTTGCACCCATTACTTAGAAAATATAGAACATTCTTTCCTTTTTGGAAAAACTCACTGAAAAAAAAATCCTACATCTCTGAGCACTGCAAATCCAACACAGTCCCATCTGCAAATATGCCCAATTCACCCACCAAAAGCTAAACAAAAATATATACAGTATAAACAATACAACTAAGGGACAATCACAGTTACAGGTGACATGCATAGTGATGTACACCAACACCTAGGCACAACGGAGCCAAATATACAAGGGAGGAAGTAGGGTCTATTATGTCTAGGCATTAAGAACAAACAATGGCAGAACTCACCAGTAGCTGTGAATTCCCTTGGCTATTCTGAGAGAATTTAACATTCTTTTAGGATAGTTTCCAGTGGGGGAATTAAATATTTTGCAAAAATAAATAATCCGCGGATTAGTTTTAGTCTGCAGACTAAAATTTAGTACACGGATTAAAATCCGGCCCGTGAGAATAGAAATCTTTCATGAACTAAAGCACAACCAGGTGGACAAATAGAAAACTAGACTAAAAAAACTTAGATCACAAAGACTCAACTGGGTCAACTAACATTTAGTGCGCAGACTAAATATGGCCAGCCAAGTATGTTAGCAAGGCCATGAAGAGCCCAAAACACTCCTGTAAAACTAAAAACAGAAGTAAATAAATAAAACAAAACAACAAAGCAAATAAATAAATAAAGTAAATAAGTAAATAAATGAAATAAAAGAAAAAAAAAGAAAAAAACTGAAAAGAATCAAAACACTGACATGAACTTTCAAGTGATTCAAATGCTACCTCACCTGTGCAGCAACACATTTTCTTAAATTGAAACAAACTCTCATCACAAATACTAGTCCATAGAAGAAAGTAACATAAAAAATTAACTTTTTCAAAAAAAAAAGTCTCTGTGATATTGAATAAATGCAAATGAGTCCTTCAATAAAGAATTACTTGAAATAAATTTGCATTTGGGTAACTCAAAAATGACAGAAGCAATTTTCCCTTGTATGTCCTACAACAGACTTTTGCCTTCAAATATCAAATTTCAACCTGGAGCTAACTGTTATAACTGAATCTTGAGCCCTTTAAAATTATCATTTATAAAGAATCATATACACTATACTAAGGCCTATGGTTGATTCTCAGAGCATTAGCTCTCAATAATTCTACTGCATTAACCAGCCAACCAGAGCAATGTAAAAATGCCTATGGGCAACGATAATTAATCTACGCAGAACACAGGACAAGTGCTGTGCCTATTCTAAACAGCTGCTCCTCCCCAGTTTTCATTGTGATAAATGTATAAAACAGACACTGTTTCACTGGTTATACATAAAATACACAAGCGCCCAATGTTAAAAACTGATAATACTTCGAACATTCCTAAAGAGCCACCCCAGTACTCATTCTTAAGTAACCTATGTATCATTTAAAATTATTTGCAATTTGTCAACTGAAATAAGTACCAAAAGTGAGAGATTGCCAGATTTTCTGAATAGTTAATTATGATAATTAACCAAGTTACCTAAGAAAAAAAATTAAGTCTACTTAAGTGCTCAAGAAACACCAATGTCCTTTCTTTAGCCACACATTCAATAAATTTCTCTGTACTAATTAAAAGGCTTATTGAATTTTCCTGCACTCTACTATGTGTAAGAAATATTATGCACGTTTTGATATCAGCATTTAACTATGCAATGTAATTTCTTCTTCTAACATCATTAACGGATAAAATAGTATGACAGGCTTACACAGAATTGTGAAATACCAAATGTCCACTTATCCAATTTAATCGCTCATTGTTCATGAAACAGTTACATGATTTTCCTAAGAATAAAGGAATATTTCCTTTTCATTCATACCTTGTAGGCTACAACAATTCTAACCTATGTATACCTAACAAAATCCAAATCTTCCTTCAAGAGCCCACCTCCCTGAGTCCTTCTATCACCTTTTAGGAGGCTTCCATTTTCTCTCCACCACCCTTGCTGGCGATCTGTCTTATAATACCTACAGCATGTTAAACGCCTTTGAACACATATAGGATACAATCAAGTATATGGTTATGTATTAGCGTATATTATTCAACAGTTGCTTCAACTGAGTTAGTTCTATCACTTGTAAGCTTTTCAAGGACAAGGACTATATATTTTACTTCTTTTATATGCTTTATGGTATCTGACACAGCACTGGTTACATAGGATATACGGGTTTTTAAAGACAAATGATAAATTATTCTTTTTTATAATATTCCTTTCATATATGGATTAGCCACCCTAGTGAGACTAATTTCCAACAAAGAAATGGGGGTATAGCCAGTATAAATAGAAAAGTGAGGTAGTCTATTCACACAGGAAACATGTTAGGAAAGGGAAAGTACTACTTTATTCTAGCACTAACAAAAATGTAGGTAGAAAATTCAATAGTGAACGCAGTGTTTTTATGAGAAAAGTGATAATGAATAATAGAATGTTCAGGGCAGAGGGCGTTTAAGTAATAATATAGAAACTGATTCACCTAAGTTATAGAATGAAACAGACAAGCGGCAATCTTAGAAACCAAGAGATATTCCCAACATAGTTTTATGCTTTATGGAATACATGTGAGCAAAATCAGTATAGCAGAGAGACCAAAAAGCTAGACGAAGCGGACTTGCGAAAAAGCATTTGAAGGCAATTTTTGTTTTGTGCTCTCCATGCCCCCAAGAGGCATTTTTGACATGTGTTCAACTAGTTGGAACAGGTAAGCTAAGTGAAAAATCTTGCATTGAAAGGCTCAAAATATTGTAAGATTATGAAGTCTTTAAAAATAATTGTTTAGCTTTAAGTATTCAGAATCATAAATACCAACTGTTCAGTCTAGTCTGATTCCTTTGATAGATAAAAACGATCTTATTTTCTCTTGCTCTGTTAGTTGGAAATGCCAGTATTCATTCATGTTGAAATAACTTGACAATGTTCTACCAAATCAAGTATGTAAGGACTGATTTTTGTGGATAATGCATTCTGAGATACTTAACAAAAAACGTTCTATGGTCTCACATATCCTACAGGAGCTTAATTATTAAGTAAGCTATCATGTATGCCAAAAACTTATCGATATTTTTAGGTAATTGGTATCCATTTTGTTATTACCATTATGAAAGAGAAATTAGGAACTGCTATGATACATATGGTATGTCTTGGTAGGTATTTTCAGGAATTATGTGGTGGGAATAATCATGGAGAACTTAGATAATCAGAAAATATTTCATGGGAGAAGTGAGATTTCAGGTCTTGAGAAAAGGCTAAAACTTAGTAAGTAGAGAAGAAAAACATTCAAAGTGTGGAAAAAAAAAAAGACACTGGCAAAAGGCAGAAATGAATTTGGCTTCTCCGGGGTCCAATTAGGAGGCCATTTTGATTAGCATTTTGATTACCAAAATATTCAGCATGACTGCATGGTTCCTTCAAATGAACTACAAGCTAAGGTATTAACTATCGTCCAACTGAAAGAGATCAGGGCCCTTGGGATACTAATCTACTTCCTTGCACTACACAGTTATATCGTTTATGAATTTAATTAATCTGAAATAATATACAAATATCTGTGTTACCTGACCCCACAGGAGTATCTATCTATTACTGGGATAAAGGGGGACTACTTGCCTTAAATAATTTTAGACAAAAGGTTAGCAAAACTGGGTACTCAAAATGAGGAGGAAAAATTCATATCTATTATTACAATATAATCTTATTAGAAATCATTAACCTACCCCAATTAAATATTAACTTTTAAATGTATTGCCTAATTACAGGCATTTAAGGGTACAGAAGCTGAAGAAATTAGGAAACAGACTGGGTTCTATCAACTTGATGCTCTAGGGAAGGTTAGGAATAGCACAAGAACTAAATATATTATTATTATTTTTTTGGGGGGGGGGAAGGAAAGGCAGAAATGATTAGCAACAGTGTAAATGTACATTGTCATCCCAACAGGGACACTTGAGAGTGAAGGGACATGCAATTAATAATTACACTGGAAAAGCATAAATTGGGACATACAATCACTTTTGTCATTATATGTATGTTATGTCAAATTCTCCAAAAGACAATGAGGAATCAGAGAAGAGTTTTAAATAGGAGTGACAGTGCTGTAAGTGCTTTTAAGAAAGCTAGCTTTGACAGCAAGGAAAATATGAAGTATGTGAAAAGGAGAGAATTGGTTAGGAGAAAGAAGGTTGTTTTAAACAATTAAAGTCAGGGCAGCAGAGATAGAGAGGACGAATCACAGAATTATACTGGAGGCAGAATCTTTACATTTATTAAGAACTAAAATGAAATAATCCTTTATATTCATATAACTATATTTTCAAATCCAGAGGAAAAAACCAAAACAGCTCATTGTTACCTTACCTTAACAAAAGAAAAAAGCTGAAGCACAAAGAGTAGAAGTACGTATTTCATGGGAATGAATATATTTCTAGTGCTTAAACTAGATCCTCACTTCATTCCTAATAGAATATCATTTAACCACACCTCCATGTTCCAAATGCAGAATTTAGGCTCCCTCTTTTCTTCCAACCAATTTCCATCTCTACTCAATTCTCAATCTACTTTTGTATCACTTCCTTTTGCTTCCCATCTGGCTTTTGTCCTTTGACATGTACCGCACACACCAATGCAGAGGTCTTCATCTTTCTCACTTCCACTCCCAAGAATGGTTCATGTTTCAGAACATTAGCACCTATTTTTTTTTTTTCCTATTTCCTACTTAAAACAAAAGTACTTCATCAATGAATTAGGTTGCTCTGGCTATTAAATAACAGTCAAGGGCAACTTACCGGATTTCTAAATTCTCAAGATTCCTGCTGTATACCTCACTAGGATCATCTTGTGGCCTTGTTCTTATGTTTGTTATCTTTCTGACATATCTGACTCTCTCTCCTCAGTGTTTCCATGGAAGACATTTTCTCTCCTGATCTTTCAGTCTACCTACTTTTTTTTTAGAACACCAGCTCCAAATCCTGGTGATATAGCTATACTACGCTGCAGCACAGGAAACTGGGATGCTCACAGCTTCAGGAAATGGAGCTAAAGCGCATTCCAACAGAAGACCGCAAAATAGAGGCAAAGCAGCTTTTGTTTCCAAACTGTTTACCGCCCTGTAAGGGCAAGAAGCTCTATTCTTTAGAAAATAACATTAATGTATTAAAAGAATAATAGTAACTCCTTTGGCTACTTGGCAGAAGAGAGCTTTTCTCAAGTTGGTGTCCACTATCACAATGGAGGATAGAGGTGACTGACTTCCCTCCAGAAACAGACAATTTTCATACTGATAACCTGTTTTTTAAAATCAGTATAAGCATATTCTGGATATCATCTAGATTCATCTAGAAGGCAGTAGTATCATGAAATTTCTGTGACTGAATTTGGTTTTATTATTACAACCATGGTAACATCAACCTATTTGTGTGCATGAATGAGAAATTAAGTATCCTTATTATATAATAAATGCATTTGTACCAAGTGAAACCAAATTATATCAAGGTAAACTACATGAATGAAGAGTTCACAGTAGCCCGAACAGACAAAATAGGTGGGAGAATGGAAGCAAAATTAAAACAAATAAAAGGGCTTTATATAGATTTTTTAAGTTTGAAAAGCATTAGTGTGAGATACAGCCCTAGCTGGTGTGGCTCAGTGGATTGAGTGTCAGCCTGTGAACCAAAGGGTCGCTGGTTTGATTTCCAGTGTTGGGAACATGCCTGAGTTGCAGGCCAGGTCCCCAGCAGGGGGTGCGTGAAATGCAACCATGCACTGATGTTTCTCTCCCTGTCTTTTTCCCTCCCTTCCCCTCTCTAAAAATAAATAAATAAAATCTTTAAGTAAAAAAAAAGAAAAAAAAGAAAAAAAAGAAAAACATCAGTGTAAGGTATAAAAACATTAGGAACCCACAAGGGCAAAGGAAAGTGTAAAGCATATAAATTTATCACAAGTCTTCTGCTGGCTACATTTTAATTAGTATCAATCATTCCTCACGTTCCATCCTGGCTACTAATTGAATTGAAAAGATTCAATCCAGGGGAAAAAAATGCAGAATATGACACATATTAATATTGGTGGCAGCCTTGATTTAAAAAAATTGAGGACAGGACTGATAAATAAGATTTCATAACCTCAATTTCAGCATTATATTGCTTAGAAACTGTATATTAAGAGTAATATGTGAATACTTAGAGCTTTTCTTCCTTCATAAAAATAACATGCTTATTAAAGAAAATATGGAAATACAGAAAAAAGAAAAAATTTACCCACACTCTTCTTAGCTAAATTACTATTAATGCACTTTGGGATATGTCCCTGTATTTATTCAATAGACAGATTCTCTGTTTTTTTGTTTTTCTTCAACATGGCTGAAATCAAAGTATACTACAAACCACTTACATGAAGGAAGCACTTTAACTTGGAATAACTTGGCTGGATTCAACTCAGCCTCTAAATCCAAATAGATAACCTATGAATATAGAACCAGGTGAGAGACCCTAAGTATCTTCTGACCCAGACTTAAAATATACTTTAAGTACAAAAACCAAAGAACGGTTCATGTTAGAATATTTAGTGTTTGTTATAAATTTAATATGAAGGAAAGGGTAACATCTTGGTCAGTGAAAGCTACAGCCTTTAATTCTGGCACTAAAATACTACTGAGGTCTTTGATTTTAAGTAATATATAAATAATTAGTAATAAGAGGATTTTTTGAAGTGAAGAGAGATAGTGCAATTGTGAGAACTTGAAGGAAAGTAATTAGAAATATACAATTTAGAGAAACATACTTTCAATCTAGGAATGTAAATTACATCAACTATAGCCCTAACTTCATCTTAAAAAGATCTAAAACACATTAAATGAACTTAATGTTAAAAAAAATTGTTACATGTACATTTTAAAATACAGAACATCTCTGCTTGAAATACACATTAAAAAGCTGAACATTTCTAAACCACAAAAATATATAATGGAATATAAATAAAGGGGGGGAGGGTGCATGGCTCATAACCAGAAGTTTAAATGATCTGGCATTAAACACACATGCATGCACACGAATAGACATTTACTGGTTTTGCAACAGCCACCCATCTGATCTTGAATAAGCCACTTAGTATCTTTGGCTAGAGTTTCTAAATCTGTAAAATGAGGGAGCTAGAGACATTCTAGCTATAAACCCTACTGAGATTTTTTTCCCCTCTCTGCACATTTATTTCATAAATCCAACTTAGGTGAAAAAAACCTTTTTAATAAAATCTCTTTTAAAGTCATTTCAATTAAATGCCAAGGCAAAAAATAAACTTTTCTGGTAAATTAGTACTTATGCTCTTAGAATTGGTTCCATCTAATGTTGGTTGAGGCTAGACTTCCCAAAGGCTAGTGACATCCTGTTAACATACCAACTACTCTCAATGTATACTCTTAGCAGGAACTTATCTGCTTTTTATTCTTGCTCCCAAAACATCAACAGAAGAGTAAACAAGAGAAGAAAAACATATTATCATCTATAATAAGGTTTATATGCTAATAGTTTAAAAAACAGATATATGAAATGTATGTTTTCATATGCTGTATGATATTGATGAGCGCCTCTAATTATGTAAAGAAATTAACTTCTGATTTTTAGGTAGTTAAAAGCTTATATGTGAATTTTGCTCTTAATAAAATTCTATATTTTAATGATATCTTCACCCTACGAATAAAAACCCAGGCTGGAAACTATTTATAGGAAGACAGTGGGGAAAAAAACTACATACAGCCAATGAAACATTGAAGTACAACTACCCAACTATCTTTATAGGCATAACTGGTATGTACTTTGTACACAGGCAGCTATCTAGTCTCAAAATAGTTTGCTCTAAGAACAATGAAAAACCTAAGTTTTAGTTAACTACTGGTTAATGTACTTTTATAAAATCTCTATTTGACTCACCTTAGTCCAAGGATGTGCCTTAATTTGAGGAAATTTGAATTCTGTGTAGTTTGGGTTCATTTCTCTAATTTGCTCCCTTGTTGGTGTTCCCAGGACCTAAACAGAAAAAGCTAGTTATTGCCATGTTTTTCTATACACTTACAAATTTAGTATTTATGTTTCAATGTATTGGTTTTGTTGGAAAAAGAATTCCAAAGTTATAAAATACATAGCTCATTAAATAAAGACTGCTGTGAAAGATGTTTAACTTTTACCGGACTACAGAGCCATGCTATAACTACCCTACACAGACTTCTATAACAACAACAGCAACAGCAACAACAACAACAACAAATCAGGGTTGTAAAAAAGATCACTAAAAAATATTCAAGTAAAAATCACACATCTTCATTCTATCTAGAAAACAATTGATTGCAATGACGGCATCTGAAATGAGAATATCTTTTATTCATTTAGTATAGTAAAAACTTTTATTATTAGTAAGTTACTCAGGAGAACCATACTCAAACATGGTCATCAATAATTCTAGTCAACCACTGAATATTTAGTGATTGTCCCTTGTGTATTAGAAACTGCACCTTAATAGATGGAGGATACAAAAAAAACATGAAATTTCCTGTATGATAAACTTTCATGTTTGTGTGTGGAAAAAGTATAGCTACAATACAAGATAAAAATATAATGAGCACTTTATTGCCTCTAGAGCCACAGCAGGCACTGAATAAAACAAAGTATAGGGATCTGGTTGCACAAGACAGATGATGGAAAGAAACACTGAATGCTAAAAATTACCAATCTGAAGAAAAATGACTTCTATTACTCATCTTTATAATTCAAAGGCCTAGAAGAAAACAATTTTGTTGAAATAAAACATTAAGCCATTTACAGTTCAAGGATAGCTGCACAGAAGGAGTGGAACATAATGACACATACTTGATTTGCGGTGGCCACCACAAATCAGGGCAGTGAATAATCAGGGCAAAATAAGAAATTCGGTATTTTTGTTGTTGTTTCTAATTCTCTAGACTTCATTAAAACTTTCAGGCTTTAATCAAAATCTTAAAAATTGTTATTCTTCAAAAGACACTTAAGAAAACAAAAGTCAAACTACAGACTGAAAAGATCTGTAAAACATATATTTTGCAAAGGACTTGTATCTAGAATATACAAAGGACTCTTATAATTAAAAAACAAGATGATGATCCAAGATGATGGCAGAGTAGGTGGAAGCTACACTCAATTCCTCCCAGGACCAATCTCAAATTACAATTATATTTCAGAACAGTCAACCTGAATAACCACTAGCTGCTGCGAAGTCTTATTACCAAGGGTTTACAGAAGAAACCATATTGAGACCAGTAGGAAGGGCAGAGTCGCAGAAAGAGGGCTGGGCCTGCTCACATGGGAGCGACTGGGACTCTGGAGGGATATCTAAGCTGCAGGACTTCCACCTGAGAAGCGCAGGCTCTCCAGCTCAGAACACCAGAGCTGGGAAGAGGCATACATATAATCTGGCTGGGAAAATCAGCCTGGATTCTGTCTGCCAGGGAGATGTAGGTCTGTGCTATACACATCAGCCCTCTAAAGGGCCAACACAGAAAATCTCATTTGGGCTCTGGGCTCTGTTGGAAAGAGGGTGGAACAAGCTAGAGTTGGGTGAGAAAAGATGGGGGTTTGTGGCTCTGGGAAGAGAGAATAAAGGAACAGGTGCCAGGATCCCTGGGCTGAGTTATTCTCCCATACTGCACACCTCTCCATATAGCATCAGTCTGGGAAAATGCAACAGTCTCACATTCTGGACTCCCTGTCACCCCATACTGCAGAGCTTGAGCCCTGCTGAGGAGTCAGCTGCCTGGATAGGTGGGTAAAAGTCTGGGCAGACAGAGGGGATAGGAGTCAGTGACTGAGTTGTACAGCTTTGGGGCAAAGGCCAGTCCCCCCATTTTCTCATGAACCTGACTGGTACCTCCCTCTCCGCAACATGGTACATCCACTAGGCCCAGTCTCCCAACTCCCAGCGGCTTCAAGCTCCCATGGCACCACCCTGCTGAGGGCTGGGAAGAACCTAAGGCAGACTGAGTTCTGTGGCTCTGGGACAGGGGTCACTCAATCTACCATTTCCCAAGACTGATTGGCACCTCCCCTTGAGCAAACATCTATTAGCCTCACCCTTCCAACTCCTGGTGACCCTGACCGGTTGAGATCTGGCCCTGGGAAGAATCTAGGACAGACTAAGTGGTGTGTGGCTCTAAGATGCGGGGGACATTTTCCTGTGCATACACAACTGGAGCAGAGCCCTCCTTTCATATAGCTAAATCATGGTCCGTATGGCCCTGGTAAACACTATTGGCCTCACCTTGATGAATCCCTGAGACCCTGCCCCACCACAAAGGTGCGTGAGCAACTAGGAGGTGGCAGCTAGACTTAGTATACCCTGGGACATTTGCTCACTGACCTCAAACCTGGCATGGCACCAAGACTGAATCTGTATCGATTTGTTAAAACACCATTTGTCCCTATGTAGTAACACACTGAGAACCTACCTCACCTAGCTTGAGTACCACCAGAGGCTTTTTCAGCGACTGAACCTAACAGGCAGGGGCAAATATCATGGTGTCTTGAGGTTTTTGCTGACCTGCTACTGGGCTTAATGCTTGTAAAAGTAGGTTTTGGTGTGCAGCTTGGTTTTTCTCGTGCACACTCTAGCCCAGATGAAGCAGACCAAAACTGTGTATCGATGTGAAGCTCCAAACAGGCTGCTCAGAGCCAGTCATCGGTAGTGTCTGACACTGGTCTATACCGGAGTTCCTCCCAAGAAGCCCCAGGACCAAAACAACCAGTGGCCAGCTTCAGACATCATAAAGAAGGATCCAATTAGTTTCACAAGTGATATATACAATTGGCCTCAGCAGGCACCAGGCCTGTTGAGGTGAATTCCCACTTCATGTGGTCAGCACCTGCACGGCTGTGGTTTGTGTTGAGCCTCACAGTCAGTCACAGGGGTGACACGACACACAAATGGGTAACAAAAATCAAGGCTCAATTACAAAACGAGAGCCCACATTCCTAGAGCACACAGCTCAGGTGATCAAGGAGACTATTCCCATGGGTCCCACAGAACACTTACTACGTAAGTCCACCTTAGTAACTGGGAGTCATATCAGATCTACCTAATACATAGAAACAAACACAAAGAAGGAGCCAAAATGGGGAGACAAAGAAACATGCCCCAAATAAAAGAACAGGAAAAATCTCCAGAAAAAGAGCTAAATGAAATGGAGGCAAGCAATTTATCAGATATAGAGTTTGGAAATGAATATGTTATAAAGATACTCGAGGAACTTAGTGACAGCTACAAGGAACTTAGTGAGAACTAAAACAGTATAAACAAGGACACAGAAGCCATAAAAAAGAACTAGTCAGAAATGAAGAATACAATAATGGAAATGAGGACTACACTAGAAGCAATAAACAGTAGGTTGGATGAAGCAGAGTATCAAATCAGCAATTTGGAGACAATGTAGAACATAAAATCATGCAATCAAAGCAGTAAAAAGGAGAAAGATAAACAAAATAAACATAGTTTAAGGGACCTTAGGGACAACATGAAGAATAACAACATCTGTATCATAGGAATACCAAGAAAAGAGAGAGAGCAAAAGGTTGACAACTTACTTGAAGAAATAATGACTGAAAACTTCCATTACCTGGTGAAGAAAAGAGACAACAAGGAGGTACAGAAGGTGTGCAGAGAGTACCAAACAAGATGAACTCAGACAATAACACAAAGCACATTGTAACTAAAATGGTAAAGGTTAAAGACAGAGAGAATCTTATTTTTTAAAGGCTTGATTTATTTATTTATTTATTTATTTATTTATTTATTTATAGAGAGAAGGGGAGGTAGGGAGGGAAACATGACCTGTGAGAGAAACAGCAACTGGTTGCCTCTCTCACACCCTCAACTGGGAACTTGGCCTGTGATCCAGACATGTGCCCCGACTGGGAATCGAACCGGCAACTTTTGGTCTGGAGGCCCGCGCTCAATCCACTGAGCCATACCAGCCACGGCCAAAGTGAGAATCTTAAAAGCAGCAAGAGAAGGACAGTTAGCTTCCATAATACTGACAGCTGATTTTTCAAAAGAAGTATTTCAGGTCAGAAGGGATTGGCATGAAAAAGTCAAAGTGATGAAAAGTAAACTTGAAACCAAGACTACTTTACCTAGCAAGGCTATCATTTAAAATTGAAAGAGAAATAAAGAGCTTCCAAGACAAGAAAAAACTACAGGAGTTTGTTACCACTAAACCAGTACTACAAGAAATGTTAAAGGGCTTGCTTTAAGAAGCGGAAAAGACAAACGAACGGAGGAATGCTGTTACAAAGAAAAAATGGCAATGCCTACTATTAACTGCTTTAGATGTAAATGGTTTTAAGTGCTCCAACCAAAAGATACAGAGCAGGTGAATGGGTAAGAAAACAAGATCCATAGAAGAGATTTGTCCAGAAGGTATCCAGCCATGTAATATAAAGAATAGAGACATTTAATGAAGAAGATACAAGATTCAGGAAACACTGTACAAAGAACAATGACACCTCAGTCCCCTTCAAAGGAGGCACCTTGGGACCTCACACAGTTCTCCCAATCACCATCAGCTGCCCTGTAGTATTTTCCCGATTCTCTCTGACAGTCAGAAATCTCTTCACTTTCAAAGGTTGTTGTGGGAAAAGCCAGAAGTCACAGTGTGCCAAATCTGGGCTGTAGGAGAGCTGAGTCACCTGGGTGATTTGATGTTTCACGAAAAAATGCTGCACGAGACATGAGGAACGAATGGGCATGCTGTCATGATAAAGCTGCCAACTGACAGTTGCCTATAGCTGTGGCCTTCTGAATCATCTTAATAACTTCCAGGGAGGAATATTCAAGCTTAACACTAAATTTGATGAAGATTCATTGTTCCACTCACTCAAGTCACTTTGAATGCCACACAGGGCAAATGCTCACTCAACGGCATCTACTGCCCCCACTGACTAGTACAGTAAAGTAGTCATTATATACGAATATGCATGCCAGTCCACTCTCTTTGGCTGCGAGG